ACTCATGACTGGCACATGTGCTATCATTCCAAGCGCTCTCCCGGTTGTGTATAATGTGTAAAATGTTTGTGAGAGCCCTGGAGTTTGGATGTATTGCATAAAACATTCTGTCTACTTTTGAAACATCTGTGTTTTTGCTGCCTCCAGCAGGATTGCACTGCAAGTGTTCCTGATTATTTAAAACACAAACTGAAACATGGGACTACTGAACCTCAGTGGGATAACTTGGTTTTTCTATAGGGTTGGCCAGCCTATTGGTTGGTTTTCCCCCTCCCTAAGAAAAGGTCCTCTGCTCTCCAAAGGTTCCTTCTACCCCCTTCTAGCTACTGACTTCCCCTCCCAGCTTCATATCATGCCAAACGTCATCCTACAATAGGGATGAAGATCTGGCTCCTTCCTAAAACTAGAAAAAAAATATGGAGCAATCCTGCATAGGCAACGGGTTGAATTAGTTTCAGCAAGTAGATCTCCCCCATTTCTATTATCTATGTTTGAAGCTTGTCTCCAAATTGGCTAGAAGCGATCACTGTGGTGTGGTATGAGGCGCATTCCCTTCCTCTGGGGACTGAGCGTCCTGCCAGCTAGGGAGAAGAGGTTACTCCTCTTCTCTCCAGCTGCAAGTACACCCATCCCAGGAGAGGGACAGATCTGATGGAATTGAAGAGATTAACTAAATGTCAGCCAGGTCTAATCAGAGGCAGATAGAACAGGTCAGGTAGATTTATTGGGCACATGCTTGAATATGACACTTTAATGGGGCCAGCCTTATGAGATCACTGGTTATGAGCTGTCTTCTATCACCTCCCTTTGGGAGTTGGGCCATCAGTTCAGACTTCACAGGACACCAAGAAAGTGAGGGGATTTTCCTCAACCACCTTTAACTGAGGGCATCATGCACTCCAGGACCCTCCTCCTTCCAACCTGCAAACCCTTGAAAGAAAAGTTCCATTAATTGCTGAGTTTGCCCCTTTTTCCCCTCCCACGGCCCATCCAGCTCTTTTCAGAAACTGTCCCACCCTTCGGTTGCAGACTGTTTTTTTTCCCCCACCTCTACATTTGTCTCAGCAGTTGTCTGCAGCTGTGCCTCTGTAGAGGCCATCACTCTATTGATGTCTGCATAAACTGGGAGATTGTTCTCCCCCACCCTCCCGCCGCCCCATCTCCTTCAAATGATGGATAGGCTGCAAAATAGACTGTGTGGAAGATGAATACACTAGGGACACTCTCAGCATGCCTCACAAAATGGAACTGACTTCCTGAGATTCCCACTGCTTTAGAGAGCCGCTCTGCTACTGCTTAGCATAACTTCTCAGGATAAGCCTCAAGTATTTCCTGAAGACAGCCTGTCACCCCTCTTTAGTGGGTTACCTTGGTGCTGCTTATTTGCATGGTCATGCATGCAGTATTTTTATGTGTAAAGCACCTGCATGCCCGCCCAGGCTGCTCAGCAGAACTACGCCAACCATGTAAAAATATGACCAACAATATAAAGCTCAGAATTAAAACAAACAAAAAATGCAACCTAAACAAGAACATCATCTCCGAATCAGGGAGGGGCCTCACATATGTAGCGCATGCTTAAAATACAGTATGACTCTAAGCAGGGATTTATTCTGCACTATCTACACCTGCTTCTACAGCAGTACAGACTGCTGGTGTGTGGAAAAGCAATTGCCATCCTATATATATACACACACATGTCCAGCACAAAAACATGATAGAGTACAGCAAGCACTTTGTTGGAAGCAATGACCTGTTGCACGTAAACAGAGAAACCAATTTGCGTACAGCTGTGTACACACACTTACACAGTAGAGGTTTTATATGCACTGTGTATCCTGCATGACATTCAATTGCTTATACAAAATGCTAGTGCATTAAAGCATATGCTCACTTAGAGTGGTCTGAAAAGTCTCTTGGTTTTAAGCAATTGTTAGTTTTTGGCTTAGTGTGGACTAATGGCCAGAACAAAGGATTGGGAGTCTAGCTTGCTGGATTCCATTCCAAACTCTGCCACTGACCTGTTCTGTGACCTTTGGCAAATCTGTTAATCTCACATTGCTTCATTTCTCCTATCTGAAATGAGCATGGTGATACTTGCCTTTCTCATAGGGCTGTTGTGAGGTTTTGTTAATGTCTGTTGAGATCCTCTGATGAAAGGCCCAACAGAATTGCAAAGGTGGTATTATTATCTTCCAGGCTTCTCTTCTTTTACAGATACACGTTCACTTGCAGTCAATATCTAATTATTAGCACAGATTTCAACAACTCAAGATGAGCCAATAGGACTCCGTTCTTTTGTCCCCTCACAAAGAGGAATGCTCTTTCAAAAGTTCGGCACGTGAGCCAACTAGATGAGCTTTTGTATATGCTGAGGACAACTTGACAGCAGGGATAGAGGACAGAAGCAGAATGGGTGAACTGGTCTCCCTGGGGAAATGCTTTTTGCAGAACCCCTGATTCAGTGTGTAGTGCTCTGGGGTGTGCTCTGAAGGATTTCAGTTTCTCATCTGGGTTGCTAATGACTGAAAGTTGTGATCATTTGATGGCTGATCAAATTGTGATCATTTTGCTGAACCTGTGTGAAATGATTTTTTGCAGTCTCAGTCCAAGTCCCAACGGACAAGTAACCACATCACAAGCCACTACCACACATGGCACTAGTTGATCTTTGCTGGACATAGCAGCAGAGACTAAGGACTGGATAGACCATGGACACTGACATTCACTCCACTCATTCCCTAGCAACATTCCCTCCTGCTCAGGGTTGAGGCGCGCTGGCCGGGCCCATTGTGGGGGAAGTTTACACTGCTGTTGCCTATGCTTCCGCCTGCTTTGTGAATAAATAAATCTTCAGTCTTCAGGGCAGTCTGTCTAGCACCTTTCAGTAGCACGAAAAGAAGGACCAAAAGAAACAAATGAATTCATCAGCATGAATTCATTAGGAATGGGTTTTAAGATTGCTAATTGCCTCCCCTTGCAGCCAGTACTCATGTAATGGAAGGGGAAGGATGTAAGAGAGTGCTGTCCTCCCTGTTTAGCTGGAGATATGTCCCCTGCTGTTGCCTGCCATGCCTCTACTAGTTCCTATTTTCCTTTTCCTGAGGGCATGTCTACAAATAAAAATTACAGCTGTGCCGCTGTAGCACTTCAGTGTAGGCACTACCTACGCCAACAAGAGGACTTCTCTCTTTGGCGTAGGTAATCCACCTTCTCAAGAGGTGGTAGCTAGGTCGATGACAACCTAACACTGTCTACACTGGGGATTATGTCAGTGTAGCTATGTCTCTCGGGTGTGGATTTTTCACATGCCTGAGAGATGTAGCTATGCCAATGTAAGTTTCTAGTATAGACCAGCCCTGAGTTTCCTAAGCGGGGAGATGTACATGTGTCTTGAAAGCTGCTCACAGCTGGATGCAGAGTTCAACACATTGCCACCTGAGCAGATGTCTTATGCGGATGACAGATTAGTGCAGACGTTCACAGAGATTAATAGATTTAGCCAGAATCCTTGGTTGGAGTGTGCATGCTAGTTTCTGGGTTGTGTGTTACCGATTTCATAGTGAAATAAGATTTCCCTCACCCCCATTGTGATGACACTGCTCTTCCTGCCTGTTTGTGTCAGCAGGCAGCTCCGTCTAATCTCTTCATTACTGTGTTGTTTTTTTATATTAGTTTAGAAGAGTACTAGTCATTTATGGTGCACCACTCAAAGTACAATTCCTAAGGACATTTACCTGTGAGAGAGATCGTTATCACTGCATAGAGATCCTAGACAGACAAACTGAGCTTTCATTTTACCGGCATTAGTGAGCAGTGACTGGAAAGCCAGGCTGAGCATCTGTGAAAGCAAAGGGGGTGGTGAGGTTGTGAAATTCTCAAATATCGCACTGTGCACAGCCGAGCCAGAGCATCAGGAGACGTGTGAACCCATTAATCACTGCAGGGCAGCTGCCAGCTCTCTGACTTTAATTGGGGGCCTTCTAATATTTAAGCTGATTTTTGGGGGTAGGGAGTACTGTTAGAGAATTTCATTGCCTTCCCAATGAGGCTGTCAAGACACAATGAGGTGTGAACTTAACTCAAGTTTGCCGAGTGACTTGCAACTACTGGGGGAAATAATGTTACTCAGCACCATTTTCCTTCAGAGATTGCTGTCTCGGCAGCACGTTTAGATTTTTGTATATTTATCTCTCTCAATTTCCTAGCTCTCTATATCAACGATTTACAATCCACTGCATTTTTATTAAAGATTCTCATGGAAGGAAACTGCTTTGGAGAGAGTTGCTTTTCAATATCCCTGCCCTGAGAAGAGGGGGTGAGAGTTGGGGGGGAAACAGTTACTTAACAGGGAGAGGTGGTCTGGGAAGTATGTATTTAAGAAGAATGGTTGAAAATGTATCTCATAAGTTCCACCCACTCTCTAATAGAAGAGGGTGCAGGTCTATATAAATCAAAATACCTACCTGGCCATGAGGACTATGTGACTTTGCACTACAGTGAAGCATTTCAAGAAACCCAGCTGCATTGTTGCAAGCAAAATAGGGATGCACCGCCTCTCCCTTTTTGTTTTTAATTGAACAGAAATTGAGCCCTGATTTGTCATTCCATGCTGTATATCATTTTCTCCCATGATTTTTTAAATGGCGGTTCTGTGGCATTTGGTAACATAGTGCTACCACCTGGCTAACCCATATTCCCAAGAGTATGCAAGACAATGAGCCTTGAGTCTGATATTGCACTGATGTTACCCCAACCTTTCTTCTTTGATTTCAGTGATGTTGCTCCTGATTTTACACTGGGGTAAGTGTGAGGAGAATCAAGCCCTATGGATGCAAGCTTGCAGTTGTATAGCTTGTACAACTGTTACAAGGTGCAGCCCTGTGTCCAGAGGAAGGCTTCTTTGCAGGTCATCTGTCACGTGGGGGGGAGTCCTTCATTGGTGTATTGTTTACGTGGGCTCTCAGCTCTTTCCCCATCTCTGTTTTGTTTGATTACAGAGCTAATCCTTTCCCTCCTGCCTCTCCTTCCCGAGGGAACAGGCGATATGATGACAAGGACCCATCATCGGCTAACGGGCCTTGCTGAGACAAGACGGGTTTGGCTGCAGTGGAGACGTTACAGGTATTTTTCATTTCCTCATCAACTGCTACCTCTTAAATTTACAACACAGGTAAAGGTAGGAAGGACCATGCTCCTCCAGTGACCTCCCACACCCAAATGACGGCAGGGAACTGACTGACTGGGGATAAGGCCCACCTGCTCTGAATAGAAGGACAAGCTAGTTTATTTTGGTTTTTACATTGCACCCCTCACCATGTATCTGAGCAGCTTCTAGTGATACATTACGCAGTGTGACTGGCCCATGTTGCCTTCTCCAGAAGAAGGTAAAGTCAATTCTAAGATCTTTTGAAAATCTCCATCTAAGGGGCTATATTATCTAGGCACTCAAATTCCATTGAATTTCAGTTTGGCCCATTGAAAATCCCAACTTTAGCCAGTATGTGCTGGGTGAAAAAAGTCTCAAGCCCAATATGGCAAACGAGTTACTGTTCCAATGTTAAAGTCTGAGGATCATCTGTTCACCATGTTTAATCATCTTACCCTGTTTTATATTCCATCTCTTGGTAATGCTAATAGATTTCCTTAAACCATAGTAAAGTTGATTCATGTGCTGGGAAAAAGGCAGCCCAGACGTGGTTGATTAGTCATATTTTCTTTAATCTATTTGGATTTTCAGCCCCACGTTCAGTAGTAAAAGCAAAGGGGAACAATAAGATCTTGCTTTGGGTTTCATACCGGTGGGGTCCAAGGACACAGTTCAAACTCTGCAAGGCTTCTGGTGGGAGTCTTTCACAAAAGACACTTTGTTCCCTTTGGGACAGATGCCACCAAAGAGTAGTTTATTTCGTAATTATTTTTCCAGGGCCTCACTGTTTCCAGCTTGCTCACAAATACTTCACATAGAGATTTGCTTGGAATGGCACGAAGGGGGACCGACACTGGGGATTTGCTTTCTATGCATGGCATGGTTTGCCCTGTCTGCATGAGCTCTTTCTTGTTCCTAGGATACACTTGCTTGCCTTAATTTATGGGGCTAGTTTCCCCGCCCTCCCCTTTGGCTGAGATGTGTTTTGACTTTCTCACTAAGCTCCTTTCTGTGCAGGGGCAAAACCACTAGCAATTAATTTAAGTGAAATGAAAATACAGTCCTTGTGCTCAGGTAGGGTCTGGGCTTCTGCAACACACTCCTCCTGCTCAGATGCAAAAGGAACCTCATGTTTTGTTCAATGGGAACCCGTCTGAAAAGCAGAGCGCCACTTGTGGGGGCTGCAGAAGGACTCTGTTCTCAGCAGTGTAGGTTGAAAGATGTGAACTACAAGAGTGATGGCATGTGAACTAAGGAAAAGAAAGAAAAGAAATGACCCATTGGATCAGACCAAATATCCACCTAGTCCTCTCTCCCAACAGCAGGTAGTTCCAGATGCTTCAGAAAATTATACAACTCCTCTCCTTCTCTTGTGCCACAGTGGCTATTAATAATGGAAAATAATCATAATTACTCACAGCATATAAATAAATGTTACCAAAACTAATGATGGATGCCACCTATTACTAATAAAAAGGAAATTTACCTCATTCTGCAGTAACATTCCAAGGGTTGTGGGGAAGGGCAGTTTCTTCCTGACCACTAATTTGTGCTCTGAAGCATGAGGATTGTTGGCCCTTGTAACTCACTGCAGCTGGTGTCATTGCAGGTTTCATTCTTGTTCATATGTATGTAACATTTGGCTTCTTATTGCACCATTTCGAGGCTGCACAATGGCTCCCCAGAAACATTATTACCCCAGGGACTAAAAGGGAAATCTAGTGTTAAAATCTGTGTCTCTTGTAGGCACTTGCTTCTTAGTGTGGACTGGATGTGTCTACCTTTAAACCAGTAAGAAAGGTTGAGAGCAATGGAGTCATTTGATTACCTATTTACTGTCTTTCATGGTGTTGCTGCCCACAATGAGCTCAGAGTCTGAGCTGGACAAAATCTCATATTTTCTGCCCATCCCCCGTGGGGGGGGGAAGATCAGTGATCAGGTCCCAAGCTTGGGGGTCTTGCTCTTTTGACTCTTGATGGTCTAGGAATACTATGATAGACAGTCAGGGGAAGGGGAAAATAGGATTATGTGGCTCTATAGAGAGCCACAGTCCCTGTCTTCAGATGTTAATGTCAAACAGGGGAATGAGCAAAGTAAACTAGTCAGACTACCTAGTGCCCTCCATAAGGGACTGGATGGCTCAGGGGGTTGATAATGGGATTTACTTCACGGTCCCTGGTTCAAATTCAGCCCAGATCAGTAAAGACTAATAGTGCTTGTCATCCAGTGACTACTAGGTGGCTAATGAAAAATGTGTTTCGGCCTCAGTCCAGCTCCTAGAAAGCAGGAATCCACATAGCTTTTTATTATCTCCATTGGTAGGTTTGTCTACAATCGTAACAGAGAAGCCAAGTGGTCCCTAGAATCTTCACTGCATTTTCTACTGTATCTGTGTTTGTCATTGTTGGTCCCAGCGATTTTACTAGTAATGAAATAGAAATAGCACAAGTAAGAAAGAAACTAGACAGAAAGAGTGACTCTTGCTCCAAGCAGATTGAGGTGGATTCAAAGAGCTGATGATTGTGTGGGCTGATGATCTTTGAGGGAGGAGGAGATAGGAGAATGTATTCTAAATGTGACTTATGATAAGTGGTCATGGGATATAGAGACTTTGTAGGTTCTTCATTTGCAATGTAGCCTAAGACCTAGATACTAAAATTTGTTACCAGCTAATGACTGTTCATTGGTCTGTGTGCAATGAGTTGGAGAATCTCAGTCCAGTTCTCCTGTGGACAGGTGCCCACATCACAAACGTGGCCCCACTATAACTGGCACTAACTGTCCCCCTTGTTGGAAATCTCTATAGAGTGCCCAAGGATTGAATGCGTAATATTTTCTCATCCATGACATGGTTGTCCAGTATCCTGTTGCGACATACCAATGGTGAGAAGTTGGCTTGCACGGTCGTTCACCTTTTGTAATGACCTACCCAGGTGAGTCATCAGCAAAGCTTGATCTTGGGACCTTTAGGGTCAGACCTTTACTAGAGCCACAGGAGTAACTCCCTTAGCTGGTAGCAATAGTAGGCTGTTCCCCTACTAGTGGCTTGTCCACTGGTGGACATCAGTCATGCCCTCTGCCAATGTATTACATATGCTGTCTGTCCCTGTTCTTCAGTCTAGGGCTGTCAGTTCAGCCCCTTTCACCAATACTAATGCCTCTAAATCAGTACTTCTCAACCAGGGGTACTCCTAAGTCTTCCAGGGGGTACCTCAACTCATCTAGATATTTGACTAGTTTTACAACAGGCTACATAAAAAGCACCAGTGAAGTTAGTACAAACTAAAATTTCATACAGACAATGACTTGTTTTTACTGTTCTATATACTGTGCACCGAAAAATAAGTACAATATCTATCTTCTAATTGATTTCTTTTATAATTACATGGTAAAAATGAGAAAGTAAACAATTTTTCAGTAATATTATGCTGACACTTTTGTATTTTTATGTCTGAGGCCTGGTCTACACTATGAGTTTAGGTCGACTTTAGCAGCGTTAAATCGAATTAAGCCTGGACACGTCCACATGACGAAGCCCTTTCTTTCGACTTAAAGGGCTCTTTAAACCGGTTTCATTACTCCACCTCCGACGAGGGGATTAGCGCTAAAATCGGCCTTTGCGGGTCGGATTTGGGGTAGTGTGGACGGAATTCAACGTTATTGACCTCCGGGAGCTATCCCACAGTGCTTCATTGTGACCGCTCTGGACAGCACTCTCAACTCAGATGCACTGACCAGGTAGACAGGAAAAGCCCCGCGAACTTTTGAATTTCATTTCCTGTTTGCCCAGTGTGGAGAGCACAGGTGACCACGCAGAGCTCATCAGCACAGGTAAACATGATGGAGTCCCAGGATCGCAAAAGAGCTCCAGCATGGACAGAACGGGAGGTACGGGATCTGCTTGCCATATGGGGAGATGAATCAGTGCTAGCTGAACTCTGTAGCAGTAAACGAAATGGCAAAATATTAGAAAAAGTCTCAAAGGCCATGAAGGACAGAGGCCATAACAGGGACGCACAGCAGTGCCGTGTGAAAATTAAGGCGCTAAGGCAAGCCTACCACAAAGCCAGAGAGGCAAACGGAAGGTCTGGGGCAGAGCCGCAAACATGCTGCTTCTACGCAGAGCTGCATGCCATTCTAGGGGGTGCAGCCACCACTACCCCAACCGTGTGCTTTGACTCCGTCAATGGAGAAACACGCAACAAGGAAGCGGGTTCGGGGTACGTGGAAGATGATAGCTCACAGCAAGGAAGCGGAGAAATCGGTTTCCCCAACAGCCAGGATATGTTTATCACCCTGGACCTGGAACCAGTAACCCCTGAACTCACCCAAGGCGTGCTCCCAGACCCTGAGGGCACACAAGGGACCTCTGGTGAGTGTACCTTTGTAAATATTACACATGGTTTAAAAGCAAGCGTGATTAATGATTAATTTGCCCTGGCAATCGCGGCCAGTACAGCTACTGGAAAAGTCTGTTAACGTGTATGGGGATGGAGCGGAAATCCTCCAGGGACATCTCCAGAAAGCTCTCCTTCATATACTCCCAAAGCCTTTGCAAAAGGTTTCTGGGGAGGGCTGCCTTATCCCGTCCGCCATGGTAAGACACTTTACCACGCCAGGCCAGTAGCACGTAGTCTGGAATCATTGCATAACAAAGCATGGCAGCGTATGGTCCCGCTGTTTGCTGGCATGCAGACAACATCCATTCCTTATCTCTTTGTTATCCTCAGGAGAGTGATATCATTCACGGTCACCTGGTTGAAATGGGGTGATTTTATTAAGGGGACATTCAGAGGTGCCCGTTCCTGCTCGGCTAAACAGAAATGTTCCCCGCTGTTAGCCACGCGGTGGGGGGGGAGGGGTGAAGTGATCATCCCAGAGAATTGGGGGTGGGGGGGGGGGGTAGTTGGGTTTGTGCTGCATGTTAACCCGGAAACCCCAGCCCCTCCTTTTACATTGCAAACCCATTTTAAATGGCCAACCCAATGGGTCCTTGGTATGGGACATGAGGGCGCTGCTGTTTGAAACCATTCTCAAATGTTATGAAGGTTAAAAAAGCCAAAAGACTGTGGCTTACCATGGCTGCCTGCAAGCCGAATTCTGTTGCCTGGCACTGCGTGAGTGAGCTCTCACACCAAACCGGCAGGCCCTCAATATAAGAGGAAAAATGCGACCTTGTAACGAAAGCACACGTGCTGTGTAATGTGAACAGCAAAATTTAACGTGAAAGAGTGTACCCATTGTTCTCTAAAATGTGTCTTTTTTTAACCACCTCTCCCTTCTCCTCCACCAGCTGCAAATGTTTCTCCTTCGCAGAGGCTAGCGAAGATTAGAAGGAGAAAACGGCGGACTTGGGATGATATGTTCACGGAGCTCCAGATGTCCTCCCACGCTGAAAGAGCACAGCAGAATGCGTGGAGGCAGTCAATGTCAGACTACAGAAAAGCACAATATGAACGAGAGGATAGGTGGCGGGCTGAATCGCGGGATGAACAGAGCAAGTGGCGGGCTGAAGATGATAGGTGGCGTCAGCTTACAGACAGAAGGCAAGAGTCGATGCTCCGGCTGCTGGAGCATCAAACTGATATGCTCCACCGTATGGTTGAGCTGCAGGAAAGGCAGCAGGAGCAGAGACCGCCGCTACAGCCCCTGTGTAACCAGAGGCGTAGTGAGCGCCCTCCGTACCCTCTGACTGGAGGGGGCCCCGCAAGGAAGGGGACCCCTAAAAGTGGCAAAATAAATACCGCATTCCAGTTTCTGCATTGTAAGGGGCCCCGCCTGGACATATGTTCGGTGGGGGCCACGTTCTTTGTTGCTACGGCCCTGTGTGTAACCAACAGCCCTCCTCCCCAAGTCCCATTGCCTCCTCACCCAGATGCCCAAGAACACGGTGGGGGGGCCTCCGGCCACCCAGTCACTCCACCCCAGATGATTGCCCGAGCATCGGAAGGCTGGCCTTCAATAAGTGTTAAAGCTTTAAACTGCAGTGTGTCCTTTTCCTTCCCCCCTCCGCCACCCCTCCCGGGCTACCTTGGCAATTATCCCCCTAGTTATGTGATGAATTAATAAAGAATGCATGAATGTGAAGTAACAATGACTTTATTGCCTCTGCAAGCGGTGCTCGAAGGGGGGAGAGGAGGGTGGGGTGGTTGGTTTACAGGGAAGTAGAGTGAACTGGTTGGGGGGGGCAGAGGGTTCATCAAGGAGAAACAAACAGAAGTTTCACACCGTAGCCTGGCCAGTCACAAAACTGGTTTTCAAAGCTTCTCTGATGCGCACCGCGCCCTGCTGTACTCTTCTAACCGCCCTGGTGTCTGGCTGTGCGTAATCAGCGGCCAGGCGATTTGCCTCAACCTCCCACCCCGCCATAAATGTCTCCCCCTTACTCTCACAGATATTGTGGGGCGCACAGCAAGCAGCAATAACAATGGGGATATTGGTTTCGCTGAGGTCTGAGCGAGTCAGTAAGCTGCGCCAGCGTGCTTTTAAACGTCCAAATGCACATTCCACCACCATTCGGCACTTGCTCAGCCTATAGTTGAACAGGTCCTGACTACTGTCCAGGCTGCCTGTGTACGGCTTCATGAGCCATGGCATTAAGGGGTAGGCTGGGTCCCCAAGGATCACGATAGGCATTTCAACATCCCCAACGGTTATTTTCTGGTCCGGGAAGAAAGTCCCTTCCTCCAGCTTTCGAAACAGACCAGAGTGCCTGAAGACGCGAGCATCATATACCTTTCCCGGCCATCCCACATTGATGTTGGTGAAACGTCCCTTGTGATCCACCAGGGCTTGCAGCAGCATTGAAAAGTACCCCTTGCGGTTTATGTACTCGGTGGCTTGGTGCTCCGGTGCCAAGATAGGGATATGGGTTCCGTCTATCGCCCCACCACAGTTTGGGAATCCCATTGCAGCAAAGCCATCCACTATGACCTGCACGTTTCCCAGAGTCACTGCCCTTGATATCAACAGGTCTTTGATTGCCCTGGCAACTTGGATCACAGCAGCCCCCACAGTAGATTTGCCCACTCCAAATTGATTCCCGACTGACCGGTAGCTGTCTGGCGTTGCAAGCTTCCACAGGGCTATCGCCACTCGCTCCTCCACTGTGAGGGCTGCTCTCATCCTGGCGCTTCAGGGCAGGGGAAAGCAAGTCACAAAGTTCCATGAAAGTGCCCTTACGCATGCGAAAGTTTCGCAGCCACTGGGAATCGTCCCACACCTGCAACACAATGCGGTCCCACCAGTCTGTGCTTGTTTCCCGGGCCCAGAATCGGCGTTCCACGGCATGAACTTGCCCCAGTAACACCATGATTTACACATTGCTGGGGCCCGTACCTTGTGCGAGGGCTATGTCCATGTCAATTTCCTCATCACTCTCGTCGCCACGCTGCAATCGCCTCATCGGCTGGTCCTGGTTTTGCTTTGGCATGTCCTGGCTCTGCATATACTCCAGGACAATGCGTGTGGTGTTCATAGTGCTCATAATTCCCGCGGTGATCTGAGCGGGCTCCATGATCCCAGTGCTATGGCGTCTGGTCTGAAAAAAGGCGCGAAACTGACAGAGGGAGGGAGGGGCGACTGACGACATGGCGTACAGGTACAGGGTATTAAAATCAACAAAGGTGGCTGTGCATCAGGGAGAAACACAAACAACTGTCACACAGAATGGCCCCCCCAAAGATTGAACTCAAAACCCTGGGTTTAGCAGGCCGTTGATTTCACGGAGAGAGGGGGAAGCAAATGAATACATCTATTTTTTACATCTTAAGCTGGCAGCAGACAGTGCAGCATGACTGATAGCCTTCGGCATCTTCTGGGTGCTTGGCAGAAGATACTGTACTACGACTGCTAGCCATCATAGTCAAGATGGTTCAATAGGACTGCCGGCAGGACTGAGTCTCCAGGAGACAAAGCATGTCTGCCCAGGTGCCTCTGATTGAACTGGAATACGACAATGACGGATACCAGTTGTAATACACCATCTACTGCCAAAAGGCAATTAGCTGCTGCTGTGTAGCAATGCAGTACCACGTCTGCCGGCACGCAGATGACATATGGTGACGGTGAGCTGAGCTGGGCAGGCTCCATGCTTGCCGTGGTATGTCGTCTGCACAGGTAACCGAGGTAAAAAGGCGCGAATCGATTGTCTGCCATTGCTCTGAAGGAGGGGGAGGGGCCTCACGACATGTACCCAGAACCCACCGCGACACTGTTTAGCATGATCAGGCATTGGGATCTCAACCCAGAATTCCAATGGGCGGCGGAGACTGCGGGAACTGTGGGATAGCTACCCACAGTGCAACGCTCCTGAAGTCGACGCTAGCCTCGGTACTGTGGACGCGGTCCGCCGACTTCATGCACTTAGAGCATTTTATGTGGGGACACACACACAATCGACTGTATAAAACCGATATCTATAAAACCGGCTTCTATAAATTCGACCTAATTTCGTAGTGTAGACATACCCTGATTTTGTAAGCAAGTAGTTTTTAAGTGAGGTGAAACTTGGGATATGCAAGACAAATCAGACACCTGAAAGGGGTACAGTCAGCTGGAAAGGTTGAGAACCACTGGTCTAAATGACAGAAAGAGAAAATGTTCAGGGTTTGATTGTGTTTAATTCATGTAGGCTCTTACATTCCAGCTGGGCAGACCTATTCATCATCATGAACCATACATTTTCCACTTGTAGATCACCTGCCATTTCCCTGTTGTTCCCTTACTAACAGGAAATATTCTTTTACTTCACAGAAGGATCCTCTCCACACAGACTCCATGTGATGATGAGAATGCAGGAAGAGTGTCTTAAGTCACACAACTGCAGCACAAGCAGCAGCAACTGTTTCCTCCCTTTACTTTGCTGTGTCTATGGATCTCCTAGATAAAAATGTGATCCTTCCCCTCACCTGTCCTTTGGGAACACACTTACTGTCACGCCTAGCGACATATTTGCCAATCCGCCTTTTCTTAGGAGGACAAATATCCTGCAAAGATATGACACTGGGCTTTGAAAATGTGGAGCCAGTAATTAAAATGAAGAATGCAGTACTGTAGAAGGTAGAAATGAGAGTCTAAAAGCCACAGTGGTGTTTTTACTGATGGGGGTTATTGAGGACTTCAGTTTAATAATTCAGTGCAGCCAAGATTTATAAATGATATGAGGTTGAAATGGTCTTTCAAGAAGAAGGATTGGAGTGGTATGTTAACTGTTTAATTTAGTGTGTTCTGAAAAATGCTGCATGAAACACTGTATAATAACTGGGCACAGTCCTAAGGTTTCTCAGCCTTGTAGTGGGGAGAATGTGTATCACGAATGACGTTTATGCCTCGTGAGTGAGGCTGTCTGAGCACAAGCTAGAGAGTCACGGATGCCAGCTCTGACACTGGCTTCCCGTAGGGCTTCCTGCAAGTCTCTTCATCTCTCTATCTGTAGCATGGCATTGACTCTCATTTTCCAGGACAGAGGGCTGCCACAGGGAACTCCCATAAAGCGCTCACCTTCAGGTTTCCCACTTGTAGCAAGTCACAGCCCCTGAGCACTTGATATATTGTCATTCCCTGCCACCCCTACTAGCCTCTTTGCTCCACCTGTCTGTAATGTCAGTGAATTCCAGTCCTGCTTAATGAAAGGGCTTCAGGAAACGTAGGGTAAGAAGTTAGATGGGGGTCTATGCAGCTTAGAGGTCCATTCTGCCGCCGCCGTACTACAGGTCATTGGCCCAGGTCTACAAAGGGACCCAGGTGCCTAAATACTTATTCATTAGGCCAGAGAGAAAAAAATGACAGTCCCCTGGTGGATACGGGTATCCAACAGGGAGGTGGGAGACCCAGAGTCCAGTCCAGTCCCCCTGCTCCAGTGAACTTTTAACTTATCCAAAGTGGAACAGCTTCAACAGGAGAGATTACAGGAGCCCCTGCCCTCCCCATTAGAATATCCCATAGCTCAGTAGTTAGAGCACTCTCCCAAGAAGTGCTTGTCCCTGTTCAAATCTTTTCTCTCCCTCAGGCCAAGGAGGAAATCGAACCTGGCTCTCCCACATCCCATCTAACCATTGGGCTAAATGTTATAAGGGAGCTGCATCCCTTGGGAACAATGAAACTCTCATCCAGTATGGGGAGGCTCATGAGAATAGTGACTAGACCCTTCTGAGGAGCTGTGAGCTCACTCCTGTGAAAGATAAGAATGCCTACTAACCATGCCTTATTCAGGCCTCTGATTCATCGAGGTACTTTTAAGCAGTGAGCGGTCCCTTGACCTCCTCCTCCTCCTCCACTGTTCTCCCATTCCTCACTCCAAATGTCTCCTGGCCAGTGTTAAATTGATTGATTGATTACCTTGCTACTCTAGAGAAGATTTGGGGGAAATCTTATTTCCTGGCCATGCTTCAGATCTTTGTATATACTACAGCCATACTGCTGGGGTACAAGTGATCTAATGAATTTACTGTCAGGGATGTCATAATATGCATGCACATGTTACCTTGGCCTTCTCAAACATGTGCCCATATATTCTCCAGGTACCTCTTGCACTATCATACATTTAGTTTATGCCACTCAGTTTGTTTAGTTTTGACTTAAATATAAACAAACCAATAAAACCTCTGCTTTCTTTTTCCCATTTGATCATTAATTATTATTGAAGAACTGGGCCAAATTCACTACTGATGTAAACCAATCCAATTCCATTGAAGCCAGTGGAGTAATCCTGCTTACAGTAGTGGTCAATTGGGCTCCATGAGTTCAATGGTATAGATGGAATTAATGACTTCCTAAGGTGCAGTATAATGTGTCAGTTTCTAGAATAGCTTGTAATTGAATATCAAGGTTTGGGAAACAGATGGGTTACTCCTAGGTATACAAATAGCAACATCAGTGGAACCAGGCATGTGCATAAGGGAAGCAAATGTGGCCCTGAATCTCTAAACAAAAGAATCCATCCAGTAAACAGGATTGTCACAAATCTCAGAATTTCACAGGATTGTTTTTATTATGATTATTATTTTTTTAAACAGCTCCCAGGGGGAGGTTTTTTTTCCTTTTCAGCAGCACAGGGTTTTGCAGGCTACACCATTTAGATAGAATTCAAGCGGAAAAGATATTTGAATCTCTGAGTGAAACAAATTTTTACTTCCTAAAATTAAAAAAAAAAAAAAAAATTGCATAAAAATGAAGACCATCTTCCAGAAACCTGTTATACAAAACTCAATAATCCAGACAGAAAGAGGCACTGCAATATATTTTTGGAAAGGTTTCCGATCTCTTTTGCAGTGGCATGCTGTCTAGGACACCTGGTAAAAACTTGAAGAGGGGAGAGCATTAAATACAGAGCAATGGCTTGTACAGAATGGCCCATGATTTCTGTTTTATGCATTTGATCAATTTAAATCCTGTGATATTTCCCATGATTGCTCCAGCAGCTTTCCATAAGCTACACAGTGCCATATTAGTCCTTCAGCATAAGAATTACATTGTTCCCATTTTGTTCTTAAGCCATACTGTGGAAGTGCAGATGTATTATTCAGATTGGATTGAATTATGTTTTGATTTGACATGTGCTGCAGTGCTCACAGAAATACCAAGTAAGCCTTTATCAGGGGAGCAGGTAACAGCTTCTGTAATGAATCAGGAGCTGAATAAAGGTGACTGGTTGCTATCCAAACAGAAGAAAAAGTTCCTTTTTAGCATGGCTCATTAAAATGATGGTGCACCCAAGTGGGTAATAGCAGCAGAAGAGAAATCCTGTAGGTATCAGGGCATCAATACAACTACATTGGGAGGGAATAGCAGAAAAGACATTTAATTCCCACTGCTTTGCTCCCCAAACTCCCTGTGTTTTAAACAAATGCCTCTGCCACTGGGTTGCAAAGATGGACAAATCAAAGTACTTTATGGACATAAATTAATCTCACAACCTCATTTATCTCACAACCTCCCTGTGAGATAAATGATTGTTATCCTTATTCGACAGGTCAGGAAACTGAAGCATTAAACAGCTAAGTGACTTGGCCAAGGTCCCTCAGTGACAGAGGGGGGAATAAAACCCAAAGCTCCTGACTCAGTCTAGTTTTCTAACCACTACCCAACAAGATCATTCTTGTGTGATTCTCTTCCCTGCTGTTTGCATTAATAGGAACCTTGCTGTATCCTGCCCTGAATGTGTAGTAGTTAATGTCTGATGCAGTGTTTAGAAAAAACACACAGCATCTAGGCCAAAGGATTAAAAATATTAAACTCATGGACATACTGGAAACTCAGCTGATGTTAGTATGAAGCATCTTTGGCCATCCAGATAGTGCTGTATATTTTTACACAGACATTAGGCATGTACCATTGCAGCCTTAAATATAGTTGCAGGTATTTTTCTCCAACCAAGGAAAGCCTGGCTCCTATTTGTGCCATTTATGCTAAAATGCATAAAGCTAAAAGACACTCCTGTCAATAAGGCTGCTTATATAAAATTCCCTTTGCTGCAGTTCCGGCAACAGAACCATTGCATTATAATAGAGGTTTCAACTCCCATGCTGCAAATATTGCACAGCTTTTGGACAAATCTGTCTTCCTCATTTAGCTTTGGCTCCTACGAAGGAGGATGATTGGAATGCCAATTAATCTCCATAAAAGCCACAAATCAAGCCCTGTCATAACTAAAGAGTGCTCAATGTGGTGTCATCATTACTTACCTCTGGGTGAACATGAGAAGTGGGGCACTCAATCCGGGCCTAATTGCAAGTGTCACAAATTACTTGTAGTTGAGAGATTAGCTCATTCGTTGAGGGCCTTTTGCACTGGGAGCCCCAGAAATTCTGATGCAATGTGGCACTGCAGGCATGGAGTGAGAAGAAAACATGCTTCTGAACCACCCGAAATCACAACCAGTAGGATCTCTCTTCAGGTCTTGCTGTGCCACTCTGATGATTAGCTAAAAGAGGAGAGGATTCCCTGGGTAGAGCCTTCTCTACTACAATCCATATCCCACAATCCATCTTTATTTAGGCCCTGATTCTGCAAAGCTCTTAAGCCTATGCTTAACCTCAAGTACACGCTTAAGTCCCATTGAAGCTAATCATGTGTTTAAGTGCTTTATGTAGAAACTACCACTGATTAATAACTACTCTTGTTCAGTTGCCAAATGTTCATCACACAAGCCACAGGGGAAAGCTATTACATATGACTGCCTCGGGGCTTATTGAAAATTAATACAATTTGCAGTTTCTCAATGAAAAATGGCATGGCTATTTTTTTTTCTCTTTCCAGATCTTTGATCAGTCAAATCAGTTTCCACTCATTTACTTTTGAGGAGGAGGCATGCTTTGAGTATGCACTTGGAAGTCAGGAATTTGAGTTCTAATTCCAACTCTGGCCTTAGGCATGGCATGTAACCACTCAGTGCCTCAGTTTCCCCATTTGAAAAATGGGGTTAATGATACAAGAGTGTGGTGAGAATTAACTAAGTTCTGTTCAAGTGCTTTCAAGATGGATAACTATGTAAATGTTTGGTTTGCTTTTTGCTATCTAAGTCTTTTCCTTTCTTCAGTCTCTTTAGACAAAAATCATACATGCCTCAGGCTCCACAGAGTGAAGCTAATTTTTTCATAACATGATTGTTTTAAAATCCTAATCTATGCCCAATGGCTCTTATTTTAATATAGTCCCAGGTTAATTGGACTGGAACATATGTATATTTGCCAACAAAGTATAACTAAAATGTTCTCTCTTTAGTTATTGAGAAAATAATCTGCAAACAGTCATAACTATGGTCCTTGTCCTACAATCCGTTCTGTACAGGTGGACCTCGGTTCCCATGCTGACCCCTGTTGATGCCAGTCGATTTACATGCACAAGCAGGGATTCAATCTATTTGATCCATTTGCAGGACTGGGCCCAAATTGTGAAGTCCTTCCTCACTTTTCTCAGTCCTTTTTCAGGCAAACATTATTAAAGGGAATTTGCCTGAAGCAAATGTCTGGGTGAGGACTTCAGGACTTTGACCCTTGGTGAGGGCAGATAGGTGCCTCAATGGGAGTTAAGCACCTAGGTGCTTTTGAAATTCCCACTAGGCACCTAAGTGCACCTTTATGTACCTAAATGCCTTTAAAAATCTGGCCGCTACGCAACTCACATATACAGTGCTCATTGGGGGGGAAAAAAAGATAATTACATCCACACAGAGGGTCAAAAGGCACCTATCTGCATTTTTAGGCACCTAACTCCTGTTGGTTTCAGTAGGCATTAAGAACCTAAATACCTTTCAGGATTTGAGTCTTAAATACCTTTGGAAATCTGGCTCTACGTCCCTTCTGTGTCTTGGTTGGCCTGTTAGTCCTTGTTTACTTGAAATATTTAAAACAACACTCTTTAAAAACAACAACATTTGTAGTATTATATTTCAGTTACAAAGCTTGTTAAAAGGGGGAAGGATCTGTATTTCCAAACTGGAAAACCAGACAGTGTCACACTGGTTTGATTTTTGTTTTCAGGAGAATGCAAACATTACTTTAATGTAAAGGACAAATCAAATCCCATGAGGTATTATCGACATCAGCACTATCACAAGGGAAACCATGCAGACTCTGTTTTAGCTTAGGATGAGCTTTGTAATATACATAATTCTTAATAAACTGGAAATATTGCTTTTTTTGCACTTTCTGGGCTCTGTGTCTTAAATCCAAGTTCTGTTCTCCAGGAGCATTATTTCTTAATGGTTTAAAGTTGCAGATGGATGTTTATTGCCTAGACCAGCCCAACTAAAGAGAAAAAGTGAGTCTGCAGCCTGAAGAGACTAGGTTGAGAC